CTGAAAGGAGGAGGATGTTGGATGGATGTAGTGTGTGGGGGGTGTCCATTTGTTTGTATTTCCCTGGGGAGGAAAGCTATCCAAGCACCGGGACAGACCCGATGATTTGGGCAAAGGGCTGGAGACGGGTAGCAGGAGGTTTGGGAGCATGGCAAAGTGTCCTGTCGTGCATTTAAAGACATGTTGGAGGAGTCAGAATAGAGAAGCGTTGTTTCCATAAGAGCGAGCTGCACTGCCAGAGTAACTCACACCCCCTCTCCCCCGTACAAGAGTGAATTTCCATCTGCCCGGAGAGTGCTTGCATAGGGGCTGGTTGTAAATAATCACGTACAGAAAGATATACACTCATCATCGCCGCGCACACGCGGGGCTGGGGACAGGGCGGAGAGAATCGGTGTGTGCTTGTCTGCATATTTTTATGTCTGAAAGGTCCTTATAGGGAGATAAGATGGGTAGATTTCGGGTTCATTTCGGAAACAAGAGTTTTCTGGGAGTGGAATGCCAGGAGAGTCACACACAGAATAAACACGTGCCGTTTCCTTCTCACCCCCAGAAACACAAAACAGTGGCACTGGACAAACTTAAGCAGAGATTTTCCGAAGAGCTCCCTCTCGTAATGGCTGTGTAGTTCTCGGAAGCTTTTGAAACGCCTGGGTTATTCTCTCTACCCCTGATTTCACTTTATTAGGTCTCCAGCAGATTAAAACCGCCAACGACGGAAAGTGTTCAGTGGCGTAGGTAGCTTGCATCGTTCCAGTGCTAAAACCCTTCTGCCCAGAAGGAGAAAGCCTATAAGATGTATACTAGTTTTCAGCGATCAGACAGTTTTGAGAAGGATGAATATCTGCTAAATCTCTGAGGACATTTAGGAAGATTTTTAAATTTTTCGGGCATTTTTTTTAGACAGAACTTTTTAATATATTCATTCGTCATTTAACTCACATTAAAAATAAAGCAATACTAAAATTCAATTTAACATTAAACCATTAATGGCAGGTAACTTAAACACAAAAAAAGAAAAAAGAGTAGAAAAACCTCCGGGGTGTCGAAGGGCTAAGAGTTTTCTTTCAAAAGAGATCCGGTCGTTATTACTAGCGGGGTGATTCTTCACTGACCCTCGGCAGTATCCAAAAGTGAAAGGAGAAAAAAAATTAATAAAAACCAAACAAAAAATCCAAGAGGCACAATAAGTAGATTTCTGTTTGGGTCTTTGTTTTTGTTTTCCAGTTAGGGATATTTTAAGCGTCCTGTTTTCCTTATACGAACAGAGAGGGAACAGGAAGGTTTGCAGTCTCTGTCTTAGTGGGGATTGATCATTTCGGCGTGAAGAGACGTTTGATTTTCGAGACAAAAGCAAGGACTCCGTTTACATAAACTTTCGCCGAATCAGGATGGTTAACATTTCAATATTGAAACCCTTAACCTTGTTTTATTTTAAAGGGGGAAGAGATCAACAGAAAAAAAAATCCGTTTCCCACGTGGATAGGTGATTTAATGCTGTTTTTCTTACTGCAAAGGGAAATGATTGAGCATTAGGTTTCAGTGTTTATTTTCTTACAGAAGTTTTTCTCATTTAAGCAGCAGTTTACTCTCCACGCTGCTTCTCTGTTTAATTCCAGTTTTGATGTGAACTTAAAACGTGAAGTGCAGAACTAAACTACTAGCATGATCGTTGAAAAAGCAGATTTATGTATTAGAAAGAATATTTAGTGAGATGAGCGGGGGAAAATCGTATTTCCTTTGGAAACATACTACAGTTTTCATGTTGGAGGATATTTTTCAGTTGGAGGACATAAACAGCTTGTACATTGGTGCAAATGCTTCCTTCCTTTATTTCTTCGAAATAAGAGCTACTTGAATTGGCGACTTTTGTAGAAATAAATAAGTAGTTATAATTGTAATAAATGTCCCTGATTTTTTTTCTCTTTCCAATTTGGGCATGGTTCCGTTTGTTTGCATTTCAGAGCTCAATTCCGCTACCCCGCGTGTGCCAAAATGCTGGTATTTCTTTCTAGAGTGAAACAGCCTCGGCATTATTTCCACTACCATTTTCTTAATAGGGTTGTTTGTTTAGTCAACAGGGTTTTTCCTCCCTGTTATTATTATTTTTATAAAGAAAGCGGGATATCTCTGCTTCAAATGAACGCATGTGATTTACCGAGATAATAAATCTTTACAAAACCTTGCTAATGGCATCCGCAGGCAGTTGGAAATGAGCAGCTTTTTTTTTTTTTTTTTTACCATAGCTTATTCTATTCCATCTGAGCCCTCCGACGGCGACCCAGTCCTTCACAGAAGCCTCATTTGGCCGAGATTTTGAGTTATCATTAACCACTGCATGTTAAATTAACTGAGAAATCAGCCCTGTCGGGCGTTAGGCGACGGCAGAACGGAGCGCTTGCGGCAGGAGATTTAATTAAATGGTTAATCGAATCAAGCTAATTCCTCCATACAACATCCAGTTGTCTTTTGGCTTGCGGGTGGCTAGGACCTACAGCTTCTGTTCCCGCGGCTCCAGGAGCTGTTATTTGTCATTTTCCCCGGATAGCGAGGGAAAATGACTGATTTGGAGATGGGGAGCTGTCTCGCTTCCCTCTCACCAAACAACTCCCATGCTCTTTCTCTCCCAGCAGCAGCCTCGGGGAAGGGTTTGAGCCCTTCGCGCTGCCGACGAGGGGCAGTGGGAAGCAGGGAAGGTGCTGCCTGAGGAGCCGCACACGGAGGCGACATGACCGTAACGTTTCAGGGCGGCTCTGCTGGGCAGGTTGCACGAAGCAGGTGTGAGTGCTCAGCCCACCCCTCCTCGGCCTGCCCAGCACCGCGAGGGAGGCTGGAGGGACCCAACCAGCCTCGGTGCCACGGGGAAAGGGGCGACCCTCGGGCCGGAGGTGGCTGGAGGTCCCGCACCCTCCGCAGGGTCAGCATCCCCCGCGGCGCCGGCGGGAGAGGAGGGGGAGAGCTGCTGCTCCTCCGTCGGTAAAACCCAGAGAGAAGCTGTTAAAAGGGCAAAGCGAACGCAGCGAAACAAGAGCGAGCAGAGACGTTCCCGGGCCGCGGCCCCTGGGAGGCGGCGAGGAGGTTCGGGAGCGTGCCCGGAGAGGGAGTTTTGAGAAACTCTTGGAAGAGAAACGCGCGATGGAACTGCTTGGACTCTGTTTAAGGCAGCGTCTCCGCGGGTGCCCCGTCGGGCCGGCGCCCAGCCTGGCCCTGCCACCCGGAGAGACCCCTGAGCCTCTCCCTCTGGCCAGCCACAGCAACAGGAGAAAACTCCCTGTCCACGGGAGCTTCGTCTCCAAGCCAGAGTCTACCCGGAGTGCACGGATTCCGTGGGGCTTGCTCCTCTACCCTCGCGGTGCGGCCAGACAGGGACAAACCCATGTAGGGGTGCCCAGGAGTTCCCTACCCCTGAAGGTAGCTGCCTTCAGAGCCTGGTCCCCAGAGAAGCTGCTCTGAAGCTCAGGATGGTCTCTCCACTAAGTGTTTTTAAACGGGGACGTCAAATCGCCCGCTCTGCTGTTGCTTTCGCTACCGTCAATCCGGATTGCGCTGAGGTTTCATGACGGAGTATCCGTTGGGGAAATCGCAGTAACCGCTTTGAAAAGACGGCAAATCAACACAAAGTAGATAAGGCCACCCCACCCCCATCGGCCACCACCGCCCCCCTTTGCTACTGCCAGACAAAGGAGGGGGTCGAGATGGGCTCTGCGCTGCAGATGCTCAGAGAGGACCAAGTAACCCGGAGATCCACCAGGGCCAGGGAGCTGCTCCGGCCTCTTGGAGTCTCATTTCCCTGTGCCTGCCTTCCTCTGTCTTTGCCTAGATCAAATTAAAAATGATTGAGGGATCTCTTCCCCCTTCCGCGGGATAGAGGAGATTCTTGCGACAGTATCGCCACTTGGGTAGCGACGATGCCCACCCAGCCCCCGGTTCCACTAGCTGCAGACATCAAGGCTTGCATCAATCTAAAGATGAGGGAAAGGAAGGAGAGGGCCGAGGCAGCCGGCGGCTCTGGCCGTGAGTCCGTGGGGGAAAGCTGTCTGTGCGGAGCGGCTTGCCCAGTGCCGGGGGTGGGCACGGCTGGGTGGGGAGAAGGCATTTCACAGGGACCTGCCGGTGTAACGAGCCCATGAAACTGACGGACATGCTTTTTGATGTGGAAAGCACAGTGGTTTTCCATTGGAAAATGCCCAGAGAAGCGATGAGTCAGCACACTCGCTCCGAGCAGGTTCCGCGCAATCTAAGCGCAGGCTGTTGAGCAACGAGGCTGTAGCTCGCAAATTAAGCGATAGCCTGGCTAAAATGCCTTTCTTTTCTTTATTTCTTTTTTTTTTTTTTTTCTTCCTCCTCCCCCTCTAGACAGCAGACAGTTTCCTGTGGCACAAGTAGTTTATCTTCTTAGGAAAAAAGAAAATACCTCGAGTGAAAGAGATTGTTAGGCAAGAGCCTATAATCTATATTTTGGCAAGAGTATCAAATTAATTCTGAAATAAAAGCTCGATCCATTTATTTTTTGCTGCTTGAATAACACAGCTGGATGATGCCTTGGGCTTACGTTAGACGGTTGCTCATCATTCATTCGCCAAGAACTGGCCTAAATGGTGCCTGTGGGATTAGGTCAATTTTAGTGGATCTACTTCGCCTCATTTGGTTACTAATTGGTTTCTTGTTTTATAAATCGAAATCTCATTTTCAGGACATTACAAAACCCATGCAGGCTGTCCATTGAGGTAATCCGTGGGTCGGGGGTATTTAAATGGAAATGGTTCTACAATGCATCAAGTATTAAGCAACAGTAAAACTTCCCCTCTGTTTCCAAATGAAATGTGAGCTCGCTAGCTCCTTAGATCCATAATAGATACATCCCTTCTAAGGCTACTTATGTAAATATGATAAACCAGACCGCGGTGGGGGAGGGGATGCAGGGAAGAAAGCAAATTTTATCTTATAAGGTTAATGTGGCATATCTTGGAAATCTTCCAAAATAGATTATGTTTTGCTTTGTCTTCGGCCACTTTAGCTGGGAAAATCCTTTGCCTAAAAACGATTTAGTTATCCTTCCCTTCACAAAGCTGCTTGTTTCTATTCCAAAGCTATTATGCTGTTGGCTCTCCAAATTACAAGAGAATCTTTAGATCTTGTTTCCAAGCGTAATCCTGAAGCAAAAGGGAGAGCTGATTTCCTTGTTTTGTTTTAAATAGACAATCAAAGGATTTGCAGAATTTTCTGCGGTAGGTCAAGTGCAAGAAATCACAGTTTGTCCCCTCGACAAAAGGAAATTGGATGTTAAAGCGACTAGACAGGGGGAAATATAAAAGGGAATATTAATGGAGGGTTTTTCTCGTATAATCTTTAAAAACAGTCTTTGAGGAGCATCACGAGAGACCGTCGATTTGGGAGAGGCTGGGCTTGGCAAGGAATAGAAATAGTCTCTGACTTGAAAGTGCTGAAACATCTGGGCAGTACAAAGGATCATCTCATGTGACAGGATTTCAAAAAGCCGGTTCAGGTAGACAAGTGAAAACGTTTAATTATAAACCATGAGCAGACACAGCCCAGCAGCGCTGGGTTTCCACCTGAAACATAGCGAGAAGCTCAACGCCCCGTGAAGAACCGCCTTCCCGGGGGGAGGTTAACCTGCAGTGCCCGGGAGCTGTTCATTAACCTGTTGGGGTCGGGTTATTTTCCCTTTTAGAAGAAAAATAATTAGAGCCGTAAACTTCGATTAATAAGCAACTTAAATCATAGGCGGGGAGTACAGATTTAGTCCTGAATACAGTAACCTGTCACTCGGAATTCCCTCCGGGTGGGGGGACGTGGCAAGGAGCAGCCTATGCTCTAACGTGCGGTCCCGTCTCCCCAGCAGAGAAACCTCCGAGGAGCTCGGGAAAAACAAATACACCAAGGGGTTTTCTTTCCCTGGAAGCTGTACAAGATTTGCCAGCTCCTTCCTGAATACAAGGGGCGGAGGTGATCCTCCACCCTGGCGACTGGCTCCCCGTTAATTGGCGTGGAGGAATTAATGGAAAGGAGCCTGTTTCTGTCTGGCGCCCTGGTACACGCTGGGGCTGCGGGATGAAGGACAGGCCAGAGAGATGCTCCTGTCTTTGTAGGGCTATGAAGTTAAGGAGGAAGGAGGGAAGTGTAGGAGTGATAAAGAGACAAGTTGCTGTGAAGAGGTAGACGAGGAAGGTGGGAGAAGAGAGGGAAAGGTGGGGACGAGCCGGGCACACTGCTCCTGCCGTGGGGCCAACCTGAGCTGCCCCGTTCAGACAGAGGAGGAGGGAATCGTTAGCTTTGTTCGGACCGGCAAACACCTGGGTGAAGTCGGTCAATAGCGGGGGATGCCCACAGGTGCCTGCTATCGCCACCTCGTCTGTTTGCCTCGAAATAGCCGGAAAACAGGGTCTTGTCTTTCCCGAGCCAGCCCTGCGGCGGGGCAGACCCCACCGACTCTGGTCTCGCGTCCCCCGTGCGATTTACACCCCAGAAATTGATCAGGATTTCTGTGTTTTCCCTGCCTTTTACTCTATCATAGTGTTTGTGCGTGTCAGGCTGAGCCTTATTTCACAGCATAGGAGTCAAAGGTTTTAACTGACACGTTACATTATTTCATCAGCACCACCATGAAGAGTTTTCCTCTGGTGAAGTATTTTCCACCTGGCTTTTTTTTTTTCCTCACTTTGCATAGGAGAAAAGGAGCGGCATCTAAATCATTAGGCAAGTCAGGAGAGATGCGTTTCTGGAGGAGGCTGTATGGAGTCAGATCACCCGTCCCTGCAGAGGGACCCCCCGCCCGCCGGAGCAGCGGGAGGAGAGATGATGGGGATGGAGATGAATTTCGGAGACCGATTTCGTGGGGCAGGAGGGAGGGCGGTCCGTGCCGCCGGACAGTGACCTGCCCGAGGGATTGTGTCTTTAGGACACTTTCCCTGAAGTTCAAAGGACCAGTTCCCAGTAGCAGAAGGCAGCACTGAAAAACCCCTTTATCAGGCACGCTGTTTCGTTTAAGTCTTATGTTAACTCAAAATAGGTATTTGGGTATCTTCCTCTCACGGGAGCTAGGTCTTTAAAAAAAGCAAACCACGAAAGAGGTTTCTATCTGCAACAAAGTCACGTCTAGTTTTCCAAGGATTATATACATACATGTTTTAAAGCGTATACAAGCAAAAAAAAAAAAAAAGTCAAAAACCCAAAAGTCCTCTCCATCAGGCCAACACGAGTCAATTTTTCATCTCCTCACCTTACTATTTTTTGTGTGTCTTAAATAAACAGGACTCGGGGAAGCCTGGGGCCACTCCAGCCGAACCAGCCCGCTGGATAATGTTGGACGGGAACTGGGATCCCATCTTTTGCAGGTACTGGTCTGGAAACGACAGCCATATGGTATTAATGATTAAAGAAATCATTCCCTCTTCTGAGCTTTTAATTGCCACCTTGACTAATTTTTAACTGTTCGAGTGTTTAACAAAAAGGAAGGCGGGAGGGAAACAACTGCAGAAAAAGAACCGTCGCGGTTGAATGTCATATGTTTTACTGGGGCTGTGGTTTGGCCCCGCAGGGTCCTCTGGCCCAGTATCGTTTAACAGTGGGTCAACAGCGAGGGATTCACAGTGTGTCCCAGTGTGCCGAGGTACAGGAGCAGGACTTTTGCCCAAATTATTAACAAGGTGACAAGTCTCGTCAGTGTTCTGAAGCTCAGGTTGGTGTGACAGGGAGAGGTTTTGGAGACAGACTGGAAAAAGCTGTCCTGAACAGAAGGGCTCAGCGGGCACAGAAATTAGCAGAGACACAAATCAGGCAGGACACATCTGAAAATTCACGGCGGTCTGAAATATTATGAAATATTAGCCGTTACTATCACCACTCATTTTCGATGGAGGTGTGTTGCCTTTCGGGGACCTATTCTGCCCTCGGCACACCCAGAAGTCCCATCCATGTCTTCTGAAACGTACCTGACAAATTGTCAGGTGTCCCTTGTTTACACAGCAGAGAGTTTTAGATTATCTTCGCTCACTTAAGGTCGCCTTAGCAAATATGCAAGTGCTAAACCGCCAGTGACGCTTGAAATAGAAGTATTCAGGATTTCTGGAACCCACGTATTAATCACCAAGTAGCCAGAACCTCTTCTTAGAAACTTCACAGGCACTTTGCATTACTTTGAGTTTGGCTCCTCTGAGAAGTAGGTTGTATCTCGGGGGTCCAGGAGCTTTAGAGGAATTCCAGTCCAAGACTTACCCATTTTCCTCCAACTTCCAGGAGCTTTAGAGGAATTCCAGTCCTAGACTTACCCATTTCCCACCAACATTTTGAATAATCACAGCCTAAGCATGGATGCCTGACTGCTAAAATAAGTCAGAGGGACAGGCTATGGATCTATCTGTATATGGATATATCTATACTTCCCATCCCTCACCCTTTTCTGCAGACGTTGGACGGTTTCATATTTGTCGTGGCTCCGGATGGCAAGATCATGTACATCTCGGAGACTGCCTCGGTGCACCTGGGCTTGTCGCAGGTACGCTGGGGGCCCCGCTAGCCCCCGTGCTTGCCTGCACCGTTACCCTGGCTGACAGGGGAGGGTGAGCCGTGCCGGCGATGAGTCCCCTCCTCTTCCTCCTCCTCCTGTCTCACAGGTAGAGCTGACCGGCAATAGCATTTACGAGTACATCCACCCCGCCGACCACGATGAGATGACGGCGGTGCTGACGGCACACCAGCCCTACCACTCGCACTTCGTGCAGGGTAAAGCGCACAGCCCCCCGACCCCGCGCACAGCCCCCCGACCCTGCGCACAGGCGGCAGAGCCCGCGACTCACCCCATCTCCGCCTTTCCCTCCTCCCAGAGTACGAGATCGAGAGGTCCTTTTTCCTGAGGATGAAGTGCGTCCTGGCCAAGAGGAACGCGGGCCTGACCTGCGGGGGCTACAAGGTGCGTGCCCAGGGCCAAGACTCAGATCTCCGCTCAACAGCCTTCCCCTGCCCCGGTGTCTGGAGGGCGGTGAAAATAGAGAGAGGAGTAGGGATGAGCTCTCTGCCCGCGGGGATTGTCCCAGACCGGGGCTCTTTCATGTGGTTCATTTCTCTGGGAGTTTCAGGTTGAAGAGCTCAAACCACAAAACCAAGCAATCAAGTTCCCCGTAGGTTTTTGTTTTGTTTTATTTTGCTTTTTAAACCGAACCCCGCACAACCACCGAATTTCCCGAGGTGTCTTTAGGAGCTGTCAGGTGAGACGACGGGAGCCCTGGGTTAATTTATGGGTAACTCATCAGCTGCAGGGGCAGGTTTCCCAGTCAAGGGTTTTGCTCGGGTGCTTCACACGGCTCTGCTCGAGGGTCTTCAGCGAGGGCAACCTTTGCTCTCCTATCTCCTCGCTGCTTTATGTCAGCCCCACAACGCCGAGGAGCAGTTGGTATCTATAACCCAAGGAGAGATTGTGCCACAATGCACCCTAGACCAAGAACATCTGTTGAACTAGCTCCAGGAAGAAATACTCTAATAATAGAGAAGTAAGAGTGGAAGTAGACAGAGTCAGCTGAAAGGATACATTTAGGAGGTTACCTAAATCAATGATACTCTTTGGCGACGGATTGCTCCTGCTCTATCTATATAATGGACATATCTTACACATGTGACATATGCACACATGTGAACTCTTTCTCTCACACGCATATACTCTTCATTGCAAAGTTGTAGCCAGATTGGCACTTCCACGTCTTTCGTTTTTAGAAGAATAATGAAAGCGTATTTAGGAGGTGGGCCAAAACCCACTTAAGCCAGCGGAAAAAAAAAATCTCGTTAATTTAATGGGCCTTAGATCAACGCTGAACTCTCTCATGGGGAAAAAAACTCAACCCTGACAGAACGGCAGAAGACCCGCAGTCAGTGTCGCTTTGCTGGAGCAGGACGAGGGGCAGAGGCTTCGGGTAGCCCGGCGGGCACATCGGCACGGGCAGGGAGGCAGGGGCTGTCGGGACCCACTCCCTGGAGAGGGATGCCTGTCTCAGCATACCCTTCCCCCCTGCTAGGCATCCGCCGAGCTTTCCTGTGTCTCCGGCAGGTCATTCACTGCAGCGGGTACCTGAAGATCCGCCAGTACAGCCTGGACATGTCCCCTTTCGACGGCTGCTACCAAAATGTTGGCTTGGTCGCCGTGGGCCACTCGCTGCCTCCCAGCGCCGTGACGGAGATCAAGCTCCATAGCAATATGTTCATGTTTCGAGCCAGCCTAGACATGAAGCTCATATTCTTAGATTCCAGGTAGAGCTGGAGTTATTTCCAAATCTATTCCCCCAGCCCTTGCTGCTTCTCCCCCAGGCCGCCTCTCCTCTCCCTTCCACTCTGTCTCCAGCCCTTGCTGCTTCTCCCCCAGGCCTCCTCTCCTCTCCCTTCCTCTCTGTCCTGTCACCCAATTATATTTGCTGCTTGTGTCTCTTGCAGGGTAGCTGAGCTAACAGGTTATGAGCCCCAGGACTTGATAGAGAAGACCCTTTACCACCATGTCCATGGCTGTGACACCTTTCACCTGCGCTGCGCACATCATTTGTGTAAGGAAATGGTGTTCTTGTTAAAGACCCTGATCCCCGTCTTCTCCCTCTGCAGATGGACTTGGGGGTTGCTGGGTTTTACCTCTAGGTCGGAAAGGGAAAAGCCAGCTCACTGGAGGGGAGAATAAATAAAATCTGCATCAGGTTTTAATGAAACAAGGTTAGAGACTGAATTCCGAGCTGGAGGCAGGAGGGAGATGGAAGGGATCGGCAATGAAAGGCTATTTTTCCATCCTCATCTTCCGATTGTAGAACAAGAACTGGCCTTCACAAACCTCAGGTGCTCCGTTCATTCAAAATTCCGGTTAGAAACCCCCTTTATTCTTGCTCCAGAAAGCCATGCCAGTGAAATTCAAGTACTTTCGTTCCACTTCCACCCAATCTCACAAATCTTATCTGTGTATCTAATTTTGACTGCGATAGTGAGCCCGATTCAGAGGTATGTTCTTGATTCTATTTTGATATCATGATGACATTAATATTTGGATATATGAATAAAAAAAGGATATTAATTTCCGGCAAATTTCCTTACAGAGAACGCAACGAGAAGAGATAAAACCCAAAGACAGGTTTATAGAATTAAATCTAGAGGAGAATATGTCAGGTTGGGGGTGGGTTGGTGGGATTCAGCCCGCGTTCCCAACTCTCCCCAGCCCCATCAATCTTCTCGAATAGTCTTTGATAACGATCTCAAGTACTGAGATCAGCCCTGCCCGAGGTGCTCCACTCCCCTTGTCCACAGGGGATTTCTCCCTGTGACTCTAAGGGGTTCTTAACCCCTCTCGTCTCCCACGGGGACCTGGGGGGGAGTGTGCACCTCCTTTCCCGGGGCTGATCAAACCAGAGCCGGGAGCCGCGCCTGAGCCTCTCCCCGCTTTGTCCCCGCAGTGCTGGTGAAAGGGCAAGTGACCACCAAGTACTATCGCTTCTTGGCCAAGCACGGCGGCTGGGTGTGGGTGCAGAGTTACGCCACCATCGTGCACAACAGCCGCTCCTCCCGCCCGCACTGCATCGTCAGCGTCAACTATGTTCTCACGTAAGTCATCCTGGGGGTCTCTCCGAGCTGTGCGGGGCTGAGCAGGACCGAGCGCCCAGCGATGGGCACCTGTCTGCTCCCCACGTCGGGCAGCGCTGCCGCTCCTCCATCCTCCTCTCCCCCCTTTCCCCATCGCGACTGCAGCCGACTGACCAGGGCAGGCTCGCCAGGTCTGCTAGGAAACACATTGAGCGCTTTCATCTAGATGAAGGGTTTCCCGTCTGCCTGTTTCTTTCTCTTTCGAGAGAGGAAAAGATTTAGAGGTTTGTCACCCACATATTTTGC